CCCTGCACCCACATGGGAGAGCCAGAAGAAGCTCCTGGCTTCAGATCGGCATAGCTCCGGCTGTTGTGGCCATCTGGGAAGTGAACCAATGGATGGAAGACCTCTCTCTGCCTCTCTAACTCTCCCTTTCAAGTAAACACATAAAATCTAAAAAAAAAAAAAAAAACAAAAAAAACAAAAAACAAAAACCAACACAGTATCATGAATGCTAATTTCCTGGTCCCAACAATTGCACTGTAGTTATGATTATATGGTTATATATTAGGAAAGAAATCTAGGAATACTCACAAGTACTGTAAATTTCATGATGCTTCTGTAAGCCTAAAATCATGCCAAAATTACATTAGAAAATAGCACTGGGCTAAGTACGTGGCACATCAGGTAAGTCACTGTTTGGGACACCCACATCCATACTAGAGTGCATGGTTCAAATCCCAGCCACTCCACTTCCAACTCCAGCTTCCTGCTAGCATGCACCCTGGGAGGCAGCAGGTGACGGCTCAAGCACTTGGGTCCCTTCCACCCACGTGGGAGACCTGTATTGAGTTCTAGGCCTGTGGCTTTGGCCTGGCCATTACAGGCATTTGGTGGGGGAGTGAACCAGTGGATGAAAGGTCTGGCTGCCTGGTTGCCTTTCCACTAAAACAAGTAATTTAAAAGAAATGATGGTATCCTTGCGACCCTCAAACGTGCCTCACTCATCCCTATCTGACAAAACTCCATCCCGGTCTCTGTACTTTCAAATCCTACTGATTCCTCAAACCCAGCCACGTCCATGGCCCATAAAGGAAGCCTCCCCCTACCATGTCAGCAGTGGACTACAATAACACTTCTACAATATTCACATGACATGGGCGATCTGGTATTGGTATTTAGGTTTTTGTCACAAACCACCCTGAAGGCTCAAAAAAAGTTTTGCTATGGCTGCTGCAGTCCAGGATCTTGGTCTTGGCTGTACAAAAGTGACCAACAAGTGAGAGCCGGGGAAGGGCCTGCTCCACAAGCACAGGTGACAGGCACTCAAATGCAGCAAGAGCTTCCCTGCAAACTTTGCAATTCTATTATTACCAAAGCAGCAAGAGGAGAACCTTGCATTTGCAGGCCACCTGGGAAAGGAGGAAAGGGGGGAGGGAAGTGGGAGCTGGGGTGGGAGCAAGAGGCTATGCGCAAGGCAGAGGCAAAACCTCTACGCTGCTCCCCACCTCACCCACAGGGGCCAAAGCCCGCAAGTTTCTTGATACCCACTCTGCTAAGCCACAATGAGCCAGGGGTTAATCTGGGTTCCCAGAATCAGATTCCGAGATGAGGGCTCCTGCTCCAGAGACTTCTCAGGCAGTGTTCCCAGAAGTGCCTGGTAAGGGGGTGGCAACGCAGGACAGGGAAGGGAAGGAAGCCAACCAAGCCAGGGTGTGGTCGTAAGGAAAGTCCCAAGCCAAGTAACTTGACTCAACCCTGCAAGGCAACTGTTAGTAGCGTGGGTCACACTGCAGAGCTGTGCCACTCCCCAGGTGGAGGGCAGGAAGCTCAAACTGTTGCACTCCCACTGGGTCAGGACTGCCCTATGCGGGGGATGTCAATTCCCAGGCTCCCTGAGCACGCAGGAAGTGTTGACAGGGACAGGTGCTGGCTACTGAGAGCCAGCAAGCACACAGGCAGCACTCAGGAGAAAAGGAGCGGCGGGAGATGCACCAACCGCACCTGTCGTCATTGGCCATGCAGCCCTCACGGCTTCAACACTCACCGCTTCTGGGAGACGGCCACCCCAGGAGCCAACGAGCCGAGCCTCAGTCCCTACAACAGCAGGGGTGGGTGCAGAGGCAGTGGGGCCCTCGGTGCTCTACAGACTCCAACCTGGGAGAAGCCTGCACCACCTGATGCTTGGGGAAAGGCGGAGTGAGAGGCACCTGCCCCACACAGGAGCTCCGTTTTTTAAAGGACTGGTCCCAACTCAGCAGCCTGAGCATTAAGGCTCCTGGACTCAAAGCCATCATACACAGGGTGCATCCATCAGCAAACATAACATCCCAGTAGCACTCCAAAACCCCCTGTTCAGAAGCCACCCCTCAGTTCAATGCAAAGCAGGAGAAAGGACTGTTTGCAAGCACTGGTTTCTGTCTCTCGATTTCCCAGCCACTCTGCCGGCTGGAATCAAAGTGACATACTGAAATTCTCATTTGAAATAGCAGTCTTTAAATTTTTCATCCAGAATAACCCTTCCATAGAGAGGAGCTATATTCTTCAGCCTACAGGGAAAGAGGCTCTACATTTTATACTCGGAACTGGACTACTTCCTGCGATCGTCATGACCAGATCACATTCACCGAGCCTGCGCCTCTGCTGGGACCTGAACACATCAGGCTGAGCCCATGCTGCCTTCTCTGGGCGGTCGGAAGCCAAGCATTAACACCTGCCACATGGGCCCCGGTCAGCTGCACCTTCCAGGGAGAGTGTGTGAGGCCGGCCCCCCTCAACATCCCCCTGAAAGGGCCCGGTAAGGACTCCAATCTTTCTCCATCCAGGAAAATCTTGCTCTCAAAGGCCAGGTGCTGGATTTCTGTTCACACTACTCACCTCCCCAGCTCTTCGCCTAGAAAACCCCACACAGCAGGGGAGCTGCCAGTGGCAGAGCACAGAGGAGGAAGAGCAAAAACAGAGAGCCAGGGAGGCACAGAGCAGGCCTTCTCCTGGCTACCTCACCATTCCCTAATACAGTGAGCTCTCACCTGGAAGTATTTAATACTCCCAGGCTAGCACACTCGAATATATTTTCTAGTCCAACAGAACCTTCCAACTGTGTTACTAAAGCAACAGGTACGGACAAAGGACTGCAAAGCTTCCCTTGGAAACACAGACGCTGTTGGCATGACGGATAATTATTGCAGTCACGCACAAGACGTTCATGTGCGTGTCTGGATCCAGTGTTCATCACATTAGGAAAGCCCACCAGCTGGTTAAAAATAAAAGGGAACATTGGCTATTTTGCTAATACATTGAAACAAACAAATCTCCCCCTCCAAACACAGAGCAGGCGAGCGTGATTGCACCGCATGATTTATTCACACGCACACGGGGAGCCCTGCCCCGAGAGTGGGATTAGAACAGTTAGGAAACAGGACTGCATCTCATGTCAAGGGTCGCTGAGTGTTTAACTCTGCCGGAGAGCTTAACTGCTCGGACCACAAACCAGGCGCCTGCGGCCTGGCCCGGCCGCAGAAAACCCGGTTTCAGATTCAAAAACCTACAAAGCACAGAAACCTTGCAGTGTGGTGCAGCCCACCAGCCCTGGGGAGGAATTCCAGAAAGAGGGTCCTTCAGATGTGGATAGCCACAGGCACTTCTGAACTTGCCGAAGACACCCCCCCCCCCCCCCGACACATTTTTGAATTTCAAAAATGTCTCCCAAATAAACATCTTTTTCTTTCTATTTTCCACAAGTTTTGAAGTCCCCTTGTGTTTTGAATATGACCAGCCCTCACACCAGTGAAGTTCAAGATCTTGTGTGTGCTTCCAAAACCTTTATCCTGGCGACACCAGTTTTGTTGGTATCTGGACATCAAGGAAAATGTTACTGAAACCCCTTGAATTCAGACCCGGCTCACCAATCCTAACAACATGCAACATACCAGTTTCTAAATTAAAAATTGCTTTCAAGAAAGTGTCGTCTTTAACAGCCATTCAGTATGAACTTGTGTTTTTCAAAGTTAGGGTTCCAAAAAATTAGGGGCTATTCAATTGTCCATTAGCTTCGTGCATCGCAATTAGACACCGTCCAATAGGGGACTCCAGACTGCCTGAGCCTCCCGTTGAGTCACTCACTTTCCTTAGGACTAACCCCATCCCAGCTCAGAGCGCTCCACATTCCCCACCCCCACCCCCAGTCCCATTTCCTGATCGCCGGCTGGGGGGGGGGGGGTGAGGACGGATGGCCCCCGCAAGACCACTACAGATCCAACACAGGCCCCGCGCCCCAAGCCGGGAAGCAGCCGCCCGGGGTCCTGTGCCCCGAGTGATCGCAAACTTCCCCCGGCGAGCAGGGGAGGCCCGCTGGGCGAGCCGAAGCCAGGTGAGGACGCGGAAGTGGCTCCTCCCTCCCGCCCCGACCTGCCGGGCCAGGTGTGAGCGCAGGGCGCTGTCAGACGCGTCCCAGCCGCGAGCCGGGCGTCGGGAACCCCAAAACTTTAAGTGGGCACAGGGCAGGCGGTTAAAGGCCCCAACGGCAGGCTGAAACCCTCGCGGGCCCGGGCGGTTGCAGCGCGGCCGCGGGCGCTCAGGGAAGCGGCGGTCGTTCCCCAAGTTTAAGCGGCGCCACCGCTGCGGAACCCCGGCGTCTCCGCCCCGGCCGCACCTGCTCCCGGTTCTAAGCCCCAGGCCCCACAGATCCGTCCCGACCTTCAGAGCATTCTGGAAATCTGCACCCACCCCCGGCTCGGCGCTGCCGGGACCCTCGCCCGGCTGTAATTGAAGCTCTCTTGGTGCCCACCCAGAGCGGCGGCCGAAAACGCCCACCCTTGGCGAATCCAAAGCGCGCTTCCCCGGGCTCCCCGGCGCCCCTTGGCGTTCCAGGTTGGGTCCCCTTACTTCTGCGGCCCCAAGTCCTGGAACGAGCCCGGTCCCCCACCGCGGCGCTCGCCCAGGCTGGAACGCGGGAGGAAGGGAAGCCCAAAGGCGCGTCCTCAGGGGCCGGGGTCCTCGAGCCGGGGGAGGGGGGCCCCTAGCTGGGGTTCCAAGAACTCCGCGAGAGGCAAAGCCAGGCGACGAAAACGCTGCTGGGTGGGTGGGTGGGCGTGTGGTGACGAGGGGGCGTCGGCCCAGGCGAGGGGCAGAGCCGCGGCGCCGCAGAGCAGGTGCTGCGGGGCCGCCCGCAACGCGCTCCCGCGGAGCCGCCAAAGTTTCTCCGGCACCCGAAGTTAGGGGCGCCGAGGACCGAGGTGAGCCGGATCCCGCCGCCCGCCGCCCCCGGGAGCCGGTGGTCCCGCGCCCACCTGCGCCGCCGCACTCACCTGGCTGTACAGCTCGCTGACCGACATGACCCCGCGCGCCGGGCCGGAGCCCGGGCGCCGCGCTCGGGGGGCGGCGGGTCGCTGCTCCTGGCTGCCCCGGCGGCGCTCAGTCCGCGGCCGGCCCGCCTGGCGCCATCTTCCTGGGCTCGCCGGGAGTTTCTCCCTTTCCCCTTCCCCCGACCTGCCCAGCCGGCTTCCTGGAGGCGCCGCGGCCGGCTCGCTCGCGGCCGGCGCGACCTTTACTCCCGAGGTGGCGGCGGCGCCGCGGCGGCCGCGCAGGAGTTGCGAGCGGGCGGGGCAGGAGGCCGCGGCGCCGCTCCCCGCTCAGGTATGGGGAGGAGGTGCGGGCGGGCCGGAGCGCCGCGCGCGTCAGAGCGGGCGGCCCGTGCGCCGCGGTCGTCGCCGCCTTTGAGCCGGCCGGGCCCGGCTGGACGCGCCCTCCCGCGCCCCGGCCGCCCCCGCCGCCACGGGGTCCGCGGGGCCGGAGGCGGGGCGGGTGAGGCGCGGTGCTCCGGGAGCCGGCGTGGCCCGCCCCCTGCTGGACGCCGGTGCTCGCGGGCGCAGGTGCTCACCGGGGCAGGCACCTGCCGCACCTCGCTCCGCCGCCCGTGGGCAGGGCGAGCAGGTGGTGGCGCCGAGAAGAGGGGGAGGGGAAGGAGCCTGTACGCTTTTCTCTCGGTTTTACGTGGATACGCTCAAGATGCGACGTCCTCGTTATGAAAACCCGGTTACGCCGCAGCTCGCTAGTAAGGTTCCAAGATCGATCGTCTCTGCCGAACTGAGCCCCCGACGGCCGCGGTGCGCCTGGCCCGTGGGCCCCAGGGACTGGCTTCTTTTCTGGGAAGTCTTCTGCCGCCCCTGCCTCAGTTACGCGTGTCCCCTAGGCGCGTGGCACTTGGCGGCCTATAGCAACTTCCGTTGCTCTCCAAACTCCAGCAAGAAGTAGACATTTCAGCGCCGCCCCCCCCCCCCCCGCAAAAATAAAGAAGAAATATACTTGGCAGGCGTCGGTGGAGGGAGAGCAGCCTCCGGCCCTTCACTCAGGCATGGTTCTGAGAGTGGTCCTCACCCAGGAGAGCTTTTCGCCAGCTGGGGCAGGTGTGTCGGCGCCTCACTCCCTCCCCCAGGCGATTCTCAAATGCATCTCATCTGAGAGAGACCTTCCCACGTGGAACGCGAGAGCCCCGTGTTAATTCACCTGCGCAGTACCTCCCATGGGTGCTCCCATAATAAGAATCACATGGACACCTTCAAGGCTTAAAAAAAAAAAAAAGCCCCATCCCTAGGAATTCTGGTTTATCTGCGAAGGATGGAGGATGGAGAGGGGTGTGTCTGACTTTAAGTCTAAAACATGCTTCTTCCACGGCTGACCACTGCACCGACCAAAGTTTGGGCAACTTTCAATGGATCTGGCAAGAGCAGAAAGGATATGCCTCATTTTTCTCTCCCTCAAAACCCTTTTAGCATAGTTTGCCTCCTTGGGTTCCAGTAATTCCCCCCACACCAGCCATCCGCATCACCTGGGAACACGCTGGGAATGCAGATCATGGGGCTTCCGCCCAAACCTGCTGAATCAGCACCTCAGGGGGAGGGGGCGGCCGAGGGGCCGGCCCGCAATGTCTCAGCCATCTTTCCAGGCTGCTGGCTCCTTTCTGAACACGGAAGCCTCCCTGCCTCCCTCTCCGCTCCTCCCTCCGCCAGGCCGCCTCCGTGCCCCCATCGCTCTGCCAGCAAACCGTTCTCTCTATTGCATCTTGATTTTTCTTTTTCCTCTCCTTTCCTGCTTCCCTCTCCGCCCCAGCCCCTCCGTGGTGCACTGGGCCTCGGCATTTCTGCACATGGCCATCCATCTCTTTGGCAAAAGCGCTGTCCTGGGTAAAGGGGCTGGAGCACGCTCCACTCCCAGGGGCTTCTGCTGGCAGCCAAGGGCGGGAGCAGCTGCTTCACTCCCTCCTGTCTGGACTCCGCCCCAGCCCGTGCTGTGGAAATTCTTTCCTCCTGGGAAGCGTGGGGTGGCCTCTGGCTCTGTCCACCGTGGTCCGCCGCCTCCTCCCTTGGCATCCATCACTATCCTTCTCTTTTCTGTCCCAGCCTCTCTGTGTGCTCCCGCAGCCCTGCTTCTTGTTCCTGGTACTTGAATAAAACTATGCCTTGTTTCCCAGAACTCGCTTTCTTTGCATCCACGCCCCCTGTCGGTGTGCTGTGAACACTCAGACTTAATTCCAGCCTGACTCCAGACCCGCCTTTCCACCTGCCAGAGAGGCGATGCCAGCAATCCCTCAGGGGTCTCTGCTCAACCTGAAAGGACTTTGCTTCCATATTTCTGCTCCACCTCCACCTGGTTTCCATCACACCTGGCACGAATCGAAAGCTGGGTTCACATTGACCAAACTGAATCACCTCCCTGGGAGTAACTACCCTTGGCCAGAACTTTGTGAATGTCTAATCCCACAATCAGATAGCGTCTTGCCCTCTTTTGAATAATAGCAAAAACATTTTAAAACCTACCCTATGCCAGGAAATGTGCCACGTGACTTACTTCCGTGATCTTGCTGAAACTTCTGAGCAACCTGATAAAGGAGTTGTGAATTCTGAAGCCCATTTCACAGATGAGCAAAGAGAGGGCAGGGAGGAGAGGAGTGCTCCAGGGCAGAGGACGCGTCTTCAGTTAAAGTCTCCTTCCATAAGCTAAGCACTTGCTTCTCGTGTCCATGGCTCTTGAACTTCCGTTTGTATCAGGATTGCGGGAGCACCAGGGGATGCTCACTCTGACCCAGAGAGGTGGTCAGGGTCTGCGTGTTTAGTAAGTACCCCAGGTGGCAAAGGACCCGCACTTTGAGAAACATTTCTTTGTGCTCTGTAGTCTCTCCGAGTGAAGAGGAGACATGTGCTGAGAAGGCTGGGGCCTCTGTCCAGACAGGTGGGGGTTTCTGTCATACACAAGTGAGGAAGAACTGGAGCTGCCGGAGGACTGGCCTGTGCTTCTCAAAGTACTCCTTTGCCACACCTGTGTCACACCTCTCTCCCCCTCACCACTAGGATCCCGAAGGCAGGGACCACACCCAGCCTGCATTTGAATTCTCTGCATGTCCTAGAACTATGCCTTGCACAGAATAGATCTCAATAAATAGCAGGTGAGTTGAGGCAAATTTTGAGCCAGGTCATTAATTGGTGTGGTAGAGGAGAGAGAGAAGCAGCGGGTAGAAATAGCATAAGCAAATGGGGCGGGGTGGGCATTTGGCATAGTGGTTTTCACGCAGCCCATACCACACTGTCTGCTAATGTGCACCTGCTAATGTGCACCCTGGGAGGCAGCAGGTGATGCTGTCTTGGTCCCTGCCACTTATGAGAGAGACCTGGATTGAGTTCCGAGCTCCTAGCATCCAGCTGGGCCTTTCAAATAAATACATTTTTTAAGACTAGAGAAGGAATTCAATGAATAAGAAGCTTTCTTACTGTCTGGTACTTATGTGAAAGTGACTTATAAACTATAAATTAATACTCAGTGACAGTTAAAATTATTTTCTTATATTCAGTCCCCCAAGGAGATTCATGTCTTCTCCTTTTCCTGTTTAAACTATGCACAAATTCATAAAAAGCTACACAAAGCACAACTGGGACCTACTGTCAATGTCCAGGCTGAAGGGCAGGCAGCAGGGGCAGTGCTGAGAAGGACACAGGTTCACGTCCTCTGCGGCCGAACGCTGGGCTGTCCTCCTCCCCAAGACCATAGCTGCTCGTTCCTACCCCCCCCCACGCCTCCCCCTCCTGCCTCACTGCATCCTGCAATTAAAAGTCCATCCTCTGATGCAGTTCAAATGCTTCTTTTGTATTTGTTTTTATTTATCTGAAAGGCAGAGAGAGACCAAGACCTCCTACCATCTGGTTCACTCCCCAAATGCCCACACCCATGAGGGGCAGGTCATGCCTCAGCCAGGAGCCCAGAACTCCATCCAGGTCTGGCGTGTGGGTGACAGAGCCCCCAGCGCTGCAGCCACCACCTCTCTCTCGCAGGGTGGCTCTCATACTTCGAAGTCTGCCTCTTCCAGATCACTGCTCTTGGATTATGTCAGGAATTCTGAAGTCTGCCCCGTGCCTTCACCGGGGCATGGGGCTGAATAAAGTGAATTCTGGATCTGAATGAGGAGAAGTAAAGCATATTAACAGTTGGAAAAGCGACTCCCCAAAGTGAAAAGGGAACAACTGGGCAAAGAGCAGGGAGCAAATGGATTTGACCCGAAACTGGGCATGGACTCCCTGACCCAGGATCAACTGGGTGGAGGTCAGCTCGCCCATTGCCTGATGAGTGCGTGTTCATCTCCCCTGAGTTTCGGACCACAGGGAATGGAGACCCCAGTAGCCCATGAGGCAGCCAGCCAGTGCTGTCCTTGAACATGGAGGGCCTCTCATCTTGAGGGGCCCATGACATCATCCTCACCTGCAATTTATTATCTCCTTACAGATTTTGAAGTGCTAGGTTGAGACTTACGAATTATAACAGAGAAATAGAAGTGTAATTGAAAGTGTACCCTATAACTGGAAAATGGGCAACGTGTTGAAATTGTTTTCCCAACAAGTGGTCATTAAGTCGCCGTGGCAGGCTCCCAGGGATCCTTATCTCCTAGTGCCCTGCTCCGTGCCATCTCTTCCCTCTGTGCACCGACTGGCTCTAGTGATTCGCCTCGAGCCGTAAAATACAGCAAATGTGCTAGGATGTCATTTCCAAAATGAGTTTATTAACTTTTGCCTTGCAGGGACTCTCTGACGAGCTTGCTCTGTCCGTGTGGAGGGGCTCATAGTACAAGGAAGTGGGGTGGCCTCAGTGCAGCCCTTAGGAGACTGCATTCCTTACCTGAGTGGGCTTGCAAGCAGAATCGTCCCGAGCTGAGCCCTCAGATGAGACCACAGCCCCAGCTGACACTTTGGTTGGTGCACCTGCTACGCCCTGACACAGAAGACCCAGCCAAGCTGTGTCTAAGTTAAAGGGATCGTGAGGTGATCAGTGTGGGCTGTTTCAGAGGGCTGTTTGTTGTGCAGCGCTAGAGGACAAAGGCCATCTCAGACAAACGCGTCCTGGGATGATCGGGTCACCCAGCAACCTTTCTCCGCCCCACCCCCTATCTGGTCAGGTTGCTTTTCCCTGTGCTCCTGCGGGTGCACACCCAGTCTTTGCAGAGTTGTTCTCCCATGCTCTGCCTTAAGGGAGTTGATTGCCGGATCCTAAAGATCCACATGCATTGCTTCCTGAACACAGCTTTGCCAAGACACAGCCTGCAGTCAGAGGAGACCCATGGTCAGGCCGCCATTCCCACATGCCCTTCCCCCACTTGGCAGAAGACGTGCTGTGGCTGGGAGACGGGGGCTCTGCCTGCGCGGTTAGTGATTCGCCATTGAGAATGCAGGTGTCTCTGAAG